GGGTTTCTGCTCTTTTGGTCCTGGTGGTAGGTTTGTTCAGTTGCAGCCATCTCCTCCTTTTCTGGTGAAGAATGAGACTGCTGCTTTCCGGAGTGGTCCTTGTGTTGTTGATGCTTGGGTGGTCAGGCCAGCGGTGCATCTTGTCTTGTGTCCAGTTGCAGTTCTCCTCTATTATTTGAGCACCATGGCTTCGGTGGCTGGGGATGTGCTTTGGGTTGATCCTATTTCCCTTCTTCCCTGTTCCCAGGTTCAGGTTTTCCAGGTCATCTGCAGGATTATTAAGGTTAGCCAGCCTGCGGTCTATCCTCATGCCCACGACGTGCGTAATTTGGCTGCCATCTTTGGCAACATGTCTTGGGTTGACATTTGGGCACAGGGTTTTTTGGAAGTCGGACAGGTTCCTGGCCGCTCGATACCTCGTCAATGTCCCTGGTCTTCATGGGGCCCGGGTTGCATTGGGTTGGCGGTTGCAGCCAGTTGTCTCGACTTCACGTTGAGGAGTGAGGATTGACCGCTGCCTCGGTAAGTCCCTGTTTTTCCTTGTCTTTGGGTAGTTAGCTCTGGGAAGCCGACAGGACTCCCTCCAGAAAACCAGCGTTGAATGTAATGAAACACCATTTTCTGGGTGAGTCCTGGAGGCTTCCTGGCATCCATTCCTCTCTCCAGTCGGCGGTGTTTTCACGTATTTTGACATCCAGCCTAAGAACTGCCAGTTGGATCGCCAGCGCTGAGGGTCTGGGGCTTCCCCTTCCTCCTCCGATTTGCATAGACAGCGGCGCGGTGACATGATGACATCATGCTCGTTTGCTAATTTTCATTTGGGGATTTCTGTCCACTCGTTCGGCTTTCGGTAGCAATAGTTTCACCAGAATAGGGGTTTGTTTTGGGGCGCCTACCTTTCTGGGTGCCAGATCTGGTCAGTGGCAGACATTGAATGCTCCCAACCACACAGGGGGTTTCTATAGACCATTACTCCTGGTGCCTCTCTTGAGGAGGGGAAGGGGGGGGCCAGGTTCTGGCTCATGGTCCCCGGTAGGCAAAAACTCTGTGCAGTGACCGATGCCAGAAAGTTATACATATACAATCAGCCTGGATAGTTCTAGGGAGCCTCCAAGACTCGCCCAGAAAATGGTGTTTCATTACATTCAACGCTGGTTTTCTGGGGGAGCCCCGTCGGCTCCCCGGAGCTTTACCAGGCTGATATGCTAATGTCAGACTTTGGCATCAGTCATGTGTATGGAGTTCTACGGCCTACCGGGGACCACGGCTAGAACCTGGCCCCCTCAGAGAGGCAAGGGGAGCAATGGCCTATAGAAACCGCCATGTGGTTGGAAGCATTCTATGTCTGCCATCGACCGGGTCAAGCATCCAGAAAGGTAAGCATTCCAAAACAAACCCCTATTCTGGTGAAAATTGTATACAGTGGAACCTCTATTAACGAGTTTAATCCGTTCTGGCACCGAGCTCGTTATATAGAAAACTCTTCTTAAGAAACAAATTTCCCCATTTAAAATAGAGGAAATAAATTTAATCCGTTCCACTCCCAAAAACATCCATACTTGTATGACATTTTTTTATGTAAATATAATACTGCACATGTAATTATAAATGTTTTGTTGTACTGTTTTAATGTTTACCATATGAAGAGTCGTTGCTGACTTGAGGGAGACGATGGGGAGGTGGGAAGGAGGAGAGGGGTTATGGTGTGGAAGGAGAATCCACCTCTGAGTCAGGCGGGCTCTCTTCTTGGGAATTTCACCCCACTGGGACCGGGTTGTGGTTCACTATCACTGGCTCTTCTTTTCTCTACTTTTGCAAAGAACGTATCTATTGACAATTGCTTTTGTCTTTGTTTTAGGATGTTCCTAAAACGAGACAGCAAATTGTCACACTTTCGCGCTCTCGGTAAATAAAAAAAACTTGTCCCAAGTGTGTTGGGTGTTTCGGGCGATCAAGCGGTAACACTGAAAAGTGTATACTCTTCTTTGTCCTGACCTTACCTTTTGGTGTTCGTATTTTATGTTTGTACCAATGTGTTCGCAATAGAATGTTCTAGAAGAACATATGTATAAAATGTCACACAAGGATGCGTTAGACCAGCACCAAATAAAAAACTACGTCGATTACACTCGTCGTGTCAACAATACAATGGTCTTACCACGAAGATACCATACAATGCCGTTCTCCCAAATAGGCTATGTGGCTATTAGAGAAACCGGAAATTTCATGGCAAACAGGTTTATACTATCCCTAAGTCGATCGGATAAGAATTGGATTTTATAGAAATATTTGTTCAAATGATGCTTGAGCGCGGCGTTTGGGTGCATTCAAGAGAAAAAAATATGTTGCGCTCAAGTGACATATACCTGCGAAAGTGTTAAATTAATTAAACATGTTCACACACCGGGTTGTCATTGCTATGTCAGGGCAACTTTTCCAAGAATGCGTTCACCTTTTCAAACATTTCCAACACTTCCCTGATCTCAGTGGAAGAGGCAGCATCCTCCCTTACCACCTCATTCCCTTATTAATGGTGTGTAAATTGTTGATGAGGACCTGCCATACTCTCTTGTGAGATCAGTCACACAGACACCACACTCATGCTTTGCTATAATTTCCTTCTTCAAATCCACAGTAATTGTGTCTTTCTTCCTCTTGACAACACTATCTTTAGCAAGTAGCTTCTTTGGCGACATCGCTCGTTACAAATTGTAGTCACAAAACCACTAAAAACCCAAAGAAAAGCGAAATAAATCCCGAGGGATGCTTGTTGTGTGCGATACAACAACAACAACACTGGCGTCGGAGGCGTCCGAGAATTTGCGAGAACCCACGAGACGCTAGGAAGCACCATGTGGCTTTGCTCGTTAATAGAGGTGAAGCTTGTCAATAGAGACAAATTTGCTGCGAGTGACTCGCTCGTTACTGGAAATACTCGTAAATAGAGACACTCGTTTCGCCTTAGAGCAAAGGGGCAGTTTTGCACTGGTGGGGCGCAGGGTACTGTGCAGCTTGTCTTTACCAATCATAGCGGCCGGTTCTGTTCCGCTTGGGTATGCTGTTCTCTTGCGGGGTTTTCTTTTTCTTTTCTTTTTTATCTACCTGGTGGGGGGGTCTGCCTTCGTTCTTGCCCCGTTTTGGTTCGTGTTGGGACTTGGAGGTGTTGGTTGCTTCGGTTCCATCACCTTGTGCCGCCTGAGTTTCGGTGGTCGCGCCCGAGATCTTCCTGCGGCTCCGCCTTTTCCTGGGCTCGGAGGGGCCTTGTCGGGGCTGCTTACGTTCTGCCTCGTGGTCTCGCCTCCGGTTGGTGGTCGGGTGGCTTCGTGGTAGGTGTCCCATCTGCGTACTTCTCTTGGCGGCAGTATAGGGTATTTTGGCGGTCCTTCCTTTTCCTGTCCCTTCTTAGGTGGTTACTCTTGTTAGCGTCGGCTTGGTTTTCTGCTAGGGGTTGAGGGCCGTCGTCTTGCCACATACTGTCGCCTCTTTTTGTGCGGCGCTGGCGGAGCCGCTTTGGCTTGCTTTCGGTCTTGGTGTTGCTTCTACACCGTTCGTAAGCTGTCTTGTGCGTCGTTTCACCTCCGGCCTGTTCGTGCGCCGCTTGCACTATCCTGGTCTCTGGTTAGCGTGCTCTGTCTTCTCCTCGGTTGGTAGTGCCCCTCCGGTTCCGGTTTGTTTTTTGTCGGCTCCTTTTCCTTTTGGCATTTGCCTCTGAGGGTCAGGTCGCCGAGTTTTCTTGCTCCTACGGTTTTAGCGTTTTGGTTGTTCGGTGGCAGCAGTCTCCATCTTTTCTGGCGCGGGGTGGGGCTGCTGCGTTCTGGAGGGGTCCATGGTTTGTTGGTGCTTCGTTGGTCGGGCCAGGGGTGTATCGTGTTTTTGTTCAGTGGCGGCCCTCCGCTGTTGTTTGCGTGCCACGGTGTCTGTGTCCGGAGCGTGTTTTGCGTTGATCCGGTTCTGTTCTTCCCGGTTTGCGGGTGATGGTGTCCCAGGTTGTCAGCCGTGTTCTTGCGGCTCAGCTGTCTGTGTTCTTCCCTCATGCCCGTGGCGTTTGTGGCTTCGCTGCTCTCGCTGCCATCTGGGCAACGAGTCCTAGCAGTCTTTCGGGCATGGATCTTTGGTGTTCGTACGGGGGCCTTGCTGCTCGTTCTCGTGTTGTTCCTGGGACTTTGCGGGGCTGTGGCGCTTTGGGTTGGCGTTTGCTGCCGGGTGTCTCGCTTCCGTGGGGGGTGCGTGGTGTCCACCTCCTGGTTTCGTCCCTTTGACCTTCCTCTGTGGGTAGTTAGCTCCTGGGAGGCGACGGGGCTCCCCCCAGAAAACCAGTGTTGAATGTAATGAAACTCCATTTTCTGGGTGAGACCCGGAGGCTCCCCGGCAACCCTCCCTCCCTCCGGTATGCGGTTTTTCGCGTGTTTTGACATCCAGCCTCGGAACTGATGGGTGGAAAGCAGGCGTGGGAGGTCTGGGGCTCCCCCTTCCCCCTCCCGGGGAGGGGGGAGCTGCGCAGACAGCGGTGCGGTGACGTGTGACGTCATACTAGTTTGCTTGTTTTCTGTTGGGGAGTTCTGTCCACTAGTTCGGCTTTAGGTAGCAATTTTCACCAGAATAGGGGTTTGTTTTGGAATGCTTACCTTTTTGGATGCTTGACCCGGTCGATGGCAGACATAGAATGCTTCCAACCACACGGGGGTTTCTATAGGCCATTGCTTCCCTTGCCTCTCTGAGGGGGCCAGGTTCTGGCCGTGGTCCCCGGTAGGCCTTAGAACTCCATACACATGACTGATGCCAAAGTCTGATATTAGCATATCAGCCTGGTAAAACTCCAGGGAGCCTCCGGGTCTCACCCAGAAAATGGCGTTTCATTACATTTAACGCTGTTTTTTTACCCAAGTATTGCCACCATTGTTATCATAGGACATGTGTAGCAAGCAAGGTCATTCTTATTCATATACAGTATTGTCATTTTTGAGAAATTAACTTAGAGTTGTCTGGGCATATACTTGCAGTGACTACCAGCGGAACTTCACCAGTGCCAACACAGCCATTGAAATTGCAGCGGCTGGTCCTGGGGTCCTTCAGGCAGTGTGGCTTCTTGCTCTCGCACTGGTATTCAAGGTGAGCCATTCTTGCTCTTTGTTTTGCTTGTGTAACAATTATTTGTGTAATACTGTGCCAAGACTTAACCCCCTAAGCTGTTGTGGGTTATTTGGCCTTCAACACCCACAGGCGCAAACAAAAATTAAAAAATTATTCAAGTTTTAAAAGTGTTCATTTGTGTTCCCTGATCACGAGAAAAATAATAACAAAAATTGTAGGTGGCATATGTAAAAAAAAAAATGGGTCTGTTTACAAGAGCTCTGAGGAAGCTGATGTGAACCCCGTGTAGCCGCGGGCCGTTTAAATCTTGCAGGGTACTCCGAAAGGTCATATGAAGTGGTGCTCACTTTCACGTCAGTTACTCAACACGTCATATGAAGTGTTGCACAGTTTAAGGGTTAATTTGAACCAAGTAGTTGGTTGGCAAGATGTGCATGACATTTGGTATGAAATGCTTAAATATTTTGTAAGAAGCCATGTACATGGTCGATATATGTAGGTAATCCTTGCTTATAGCTACAAATGTTTCCTGCATAACTGCATTTTGACAATTGTGTATACAGTTGTTACAGTTGTTAGTGCTGTGAGATAGCAAGTGATTGTCATGTAATGTTTTCATCTGGGATTGTTTCTGTATTTTCCTTTACAACCCAAAATAATTGTAAGTTTTAAAGAATGATAAAAAATTACCCTTTTTAATTTTCCCTCAATATGCAACTCTCGTGAAAATTATCACCATGCCAATGTAATAAAGGAAAAGGCAAGAACAAATATATATATATATATATATATATATATATATATATATATATATATATATACATACATACATATACATACATACACATCTTTTCTGTTCACATACAATGTATGAGAAGCCATGTTGCATGGTCATTATGTCATGTGATGCCACACACAAGATGCGGACACAGTGGTGCGCGAGGAGATTGACTCATATGTTCACCTTAGATGCTTTCATTTTTTTTTTTGCTTACTACTTCACTCAATGTAGTGTTTGTGTTAACTCAATTAAATGTTCACATAATTGAGAAAAGCCGTGATTGGGCAGTACTGTATATAGGCCTACAGTGAAATATGTACACTTATGGTGCACTAATATGTTTTTGACACAACACATAGGCAGTGTCTTCCAACCCATTTCTTTGCTGTGATTCCTTCTGGGAATATTGGCTAGGTGAGGAGTCTAACACTAACAGGAAAGACCAAATACTGATATGGCAATAACCACAGGCCACCACCAGTACACAGTTATCATCATTACTTAGTAAACAATTAGGCATACAGCAACAAAGCCCCGGAGGAGGAGGGCAAAGCAACAGGAGGCCCTGTATGCTAGTAAACAACTTATGAGGCCCTGTATATTAGACACCATCATAGGCAGCTCTGTACTTTAGTAGCCATTATAGGACGACCTATTTGTTAAAAACAGTTGTAGAGGGACCTATGTGTTAGAAACTGTCACACGTTGACCTATATGTTAGAAACTATCATAGGAGGTATTATATGTTAAAAATCATCTGAAGAGGACCTAGATTTTAGGAACTATTATAGGAGAACCTATATGTTAAAACCATCAAAAGAGGACATGTGTTAGAAACCATCACGGGAGGACCTGTATGTTAGAAACCATCATGGGAGGACCTGTATGTTAGAAACCATCACGGGAGGACCTGTATGTTAGAAACCATCACGGGAGGACCTGTATGTTAGAAACCATCACGGGAGAACCTGTATGTTAGAAACCATCACGGGAGAACCTGTATGTTAGAAACCATCACGGAGGCCCTGTAAGTTAGAAACCATCACGGGAGGACCTGTATGTTAGAAACCATCACGGGAGGACCTGTATGTTAGAAACCATCACGGGAGAACCTGTATGTTAGAAACCATCACGGGAGAACCTGTATGTTAGAAACCATCACGGGAGAACCTGTATGTTAGAAACCATCACGGAGGCCCTGTAAGTTAGAAACCATCACGGGAGGACCTGTATGTTAGAAACCATCACGGGAGGACCTGTATGTTAGAAACCATCACGGGAGGACCTGTATGTTAGAAACCATCACGGGAGAACCTGTATGTTAGAAACCATCACGGAGGCCCTGTAAGTTAGAAACCATCACGGGAGGACCTGTATGTTAGAAACCATCACGGGAGAACCTGTATGTTAGAAACCATCACGGAGGCCCTGTAAGTTAGAAACCATCACGGGAGGACCTGTATGTTAGAAACCATCATGGGAGGCCCTGTATGTTAGAAACCATCACGGGAGGCCCTGTATGTTAGAAACCATCATGGGAGGCCCTGTATGTTAGAAACCATCACGGGAGGACCTGTATGTTAGAAACCATCACGGGAGGACCTGTATGCTAGAAACCATCACGGGAGGACCTGTATGTTAGAAACCACCACGGGAGGACCTGTATGTTAGAAACCATCACGGGAGGACCTGTATGTTAGAAACCATCACGGGAGGACCTGTATGCTAGAAACCACCACGGGAGGACCTGTATGTTAGAAACCACCACGGGAGGACCTGTATGTTAGAAACCATCACGGGAGGACCTGTATGTTAGAAACCATCACGGGAGGACCTGTATGTTAGAAACCACCACGGGAGGACCTGTATGTTAGAAACCACCACGGGAGGACCTGTATGTTAGAAACCATCACGGGAGGACCTGTATGTTAGAAACCATCACGGGAGGACCTGTATGTTAGAAACCATCACGGGAGGACCTGTATGTTAGAAACCATCACGGGAGGACCTGTATGTTAGAAACCATCACGGGAGGACCTGTATGTTAGAAACCATCATTAGAGGACCTATATGTTAGAAACCATCATGGGAGGACCTGTATGTTAGAAACCATCACGGGAGGACCTGTATGTTAGAAACCATCATGGGAGGACCTGTATGTTAGAAACCATCACGGGAGGACCTGTATGTTAGAAACCATCACAGGAGGCCCTGTAAGTTAGAAACCATCATAAGAGGACCTATATGTTAGAAACCATCATGGGAGGACCTGTATGTTAGAAACCATCACGGGAGGACCTGTATGTTAGAAACCATCACGGGAGGACCTGTATGCTAGAAACCATCACGGGAGGACCTGTATGTTAGAAACCATCACGGGAGGACCTGTATGTTAGAAACCATCACAGGAGGACCTGTATGTTAGAAACCATCATAAGAGGACCTATATGTTAGAAACCATCATGGGAGGACCTGTATGTTAGAAACCATCACGGGAGGACCTGTATGTTAGAAACCATCATGGGAGGACCTGTATGTTAGAAACCATCACGGGAGGACCTGTATGTTAGAAACCATCACAGGAGGCCCTGTATGTTAGAAACCATCATAAGAGGACCTATATGTTAGAAACCATCATGGGAGGACCTGTATGTTAGAAACCATCACGGGAGGACCTGTATGTTAGAAACCATCACGGGAGGACCTGTATGTTAGAAACCATCACGGGAGGACTTGTATGTTAGAAACCATCACAGGAGGACCTGTATGTTAGAAACCATCACAGGAGGCCCTGTAAGTTAGAAACCATCATAAGAGGACCTATATGTTAGAAACCATCATGGGAGGACCTGTATGTTAGAAACCATCACGGGGAGGACCTGTATGTTAGAAACAATCACAGGAGGACCTGTATGTTAGAAACCATCATAAGAGGACCTATATGTTAGAAACCATCATGGGAGGCCCTGTATGTTAGAAACCATCACGGGAGGACCTGTATGTTAGAAACCATCACGGGAGGACCTATATGTTAGAAACCATCACAGGAGGCCCTGTAAGTTAGAAACCATCATAAGAGGACCTATATGTTAGAAACCATCACGGGAGGACCTGTATGTTAGAAACCATCATGGGAGGGTCTATTTAGAAACCATCAGAGTCAGACTTACATGTAATAAACCATCATAGGAAGCACAAAATAATAGAAACCACCATAGGAAGTCCAAGATATTAGAAACCACCATAGGAGGCCTTATATGTAGCCCAAGATATTAGAAACCACCATAGGAGGCCTTATATGTATTCCAGTCTATATGCCTGTTGAAGCTTGGTGCTCACCAAAGGCCAATATGTTTAATAGCCTTGTTTAATTACAGGTTTGCATCATTACATTATTTAAATATTAGGAGTTATTACCAAAAAACTTGTCTTGACAGTGCGTGGTCACGGTATTTACGTTTGGCATCAAGGTGCCTTGTGGTCTCTTCATACCCTCACTGGCTATGGGTGCCATCATTGGGCGGTTGGTTGGCATTGGTATGGAGCAGCTAGCGTAGTGAGTACTCCATTCTTTGAAGTTTGTAATATAGTGAATGTTTAACCCTTAACATGCTAGGGGTATAATATCCTTTCTTCCCCACAGGCGCATGTAATTTTGAAAAAAAAAATTATTTTTTCTTCCTAACCTGTTAATTTGTGTTCACTGATCACGGGAAAAATAATAAAAAAATCGTAAGTGGCATATATTGCCCGCTATAGGGCGGGGAAGTCTGGCAAAAAATAGGCGCTGACTCAGCGTGCGTCCCAGGCGGTCTGTTGATCGCCAGCTGTCAGGCCGGAGTTGCCACAAAGAGATAATTACCTAATTATTTCAATATGTCTGATTGATTTTTCATAGTTTTTTTGCTGTAATATTATTCAATAGTGTGTAGTTTGATATATTTATATAATAAAATGAGTGAATCATCGCTGTACTCAAAAATATGGTGTGCATATTGTTGATTCAATTATGTTCATCAATCAGTGAACAAATGCTTTGTCGGTTATTACACTATAAGCACAGGTTATAATAAGTATCTGCATGTTTTGTTCACTCTAACGAACCACTAAGTAGGTATTATGAATCACAAAGTAACGAGGAGTGACCGCCGTGTACCAGCCAGCCACTCACGCCCTCCCTCAAGTCATCTGACTCACCCACATTCTCCTCCCACAATACTGTTTTTGCTATAATTCACTATATACAGATGTTATATATAAGTATCTACATTCGTGTTCACCATAACGAGCCACTAAGTTGGTATGCTGAGTTGCAGTGGCAGCCTGCCACTGGCTGCCACCCCCTCCCCCCCTCACCTCACCTGACTTGCCACCATTCTCCACCCACCATACTGTTTTTGCTTTTATATACAGACGTTATATATAAGTATTTACATGTTTTGTTCACAATAACTGTACATCTAAGCTTGTATGGTGAGTAAAGGCACAAAGACATAGGACCTCACACAGTCAGCTGATGGCTGCCGCCCTCAAGGCCAGACGCACTAATATTTCTCCTCCAACAATACTGTGTGGTGTTATTACGCTATATACACACATTATATATAAATATCTACCTGTTTTATTCACCATACTTGTACAAGTAAACTGGTATGGTGCCCAAAGACCATCGTGGTAACCAGTAAACAACACCGTCGTCTGCACGGTGGCGTCGTGCAGACGACGCCACCGCCCTCACCAAAATGGCGGCTCCCAACCTTCTCTTGCTGTTCATACCCTCTATACACACACATTATATATAAGTATCTACATTTGTGTTCACCATAGCGAACCACTAAGCTGGTATGGTGAGTGCAGTCAATAAAAGGTGGCCACACACAGTCAGAAGACATCGCCACCACCCTCCCTCCCACAGCATTACTCCTCCCTCCATGGCACACAGCGCTAAATATCACCACAATCCTGCTATTATCAGAACCCTGGTCAGTTTTATCAGTCAGGGGTCTTCTGTAATAATATCATCGCTACATAATAGCATGAACAAGTATATTTTGGCATTTTTAGGTGATGCTGTGGTCACAAGCTGAACAGCAGTGCTGTTAGCTCATGCTGCGTGTGTCAGGCTTGGTTGCTCACTCAATACTGAGGCCAATAACACCCGGGAGTTTGGCCCACGATTTTTAAAAAAAATGGCGTCTGTTTACAAGAGCCCTGATGAAGGTGTGGTGAACCCCGTGTATCCGCGGGCCGTTTAAATCTTGCGTAGTACTCCAACACGTCATATGACGTGATGCGCAGTTGACTGGAACAACTTCCAACACGTCATATGACGTGATGCGCACTTTAAGGGTTAAGTGATATGCTAATGTCAGACTTTGGCATCAGTCATGTGTATGGAGTTCTAGGGCCTACCGGGGCCAACAGCCAGAATCTGGCCCCCTCAGAGAGGCAAGGGGAGCAATGGCCTATAGAAACCCCCGTGTGGTAGGAAGCATTCTATGTCTGCCATCGACCGGGTCAAGCATCCAGAAAGGTAAGCATTCCAAAACAAACCCCTATTCTGGTGAAAATTGCTACCTAAAGCCGAACTAGTGGATAGAACTCCTCAACAGAAAACAAGGAAACTAGTATGATGTCATACGTCACCGCACCGCTGTCTGCGCAGCTCCCCCCTCCCCGGGAGGGGGAAGGGGGAGCCCCAGACCTCCCACGCCGGCTATCCACCCATCAGTTTTGAGGCTGGATGTCAAAACACGCGAAAAACCGCCGACCGGAGGGAGGGAGGGTTGCCGGGGAGCCTCCGGGGTCTCACCCAGAAAATGCCATTTCATTACATTTAACGCTAGTTTTCTGGGGGGAGCCCCGTCGGCTTCCCGGAGCTAACTACCCACAGAGGAAGGTCAAAGGGACAGAACTGGGAGACGGACACCACGCACCCCCCACGCACCCCCCACGCACCCCCCACGCACCCCCCACGGAAGCGAGACAACCGGCAGCAAACGCCAACCCAAGGCGCCACAACCCCGAAAAATCCCGGGAACAACACGAGAACAACGAGCAGCATGGCGCCCGCACGAACACCAAAAATCCATGCCCGAAAGACCGCAAGGACACGTCGCCCAGACGGCAGCGAGAGCAGCGAAGCCACGAACGCCACGGGCATGAGGGAAGAACACAGGCAGCTTAGCCACAAGAACACGGCTGACCACCCGGGACTCCGTCACCCGCAAACCGGGAAGAACAGAACCGGATCAACACAAAACACGCTCCGGACACAGACACCGTGGCACGCAAACAACAGCGGAGGGCCGCCACTGAACAAAAACACGATACACCCCCGGCCCGACCAACGAAGCACCAACAAACCATGGACCCCTCCAGAACGCAGCAGCCCCACCCCGCGCCAGAAAAGATGGAGACTGCTGCCACCGAACAACCAAAACGCTAAAACCAAAGGCGTGAGAAAACTCAGCAACCCGACCCCCAGAAGCAAATGCCAAAAGGAAAGAGCCGACGATAAAACACACCGGAACCGAAGGAGCACTACCAACCGAGGAGAAGACAGAGCACGCTGACCAGAGACCAGGATGGTGCAAGCGGCGCACGAACAGGCCGGAGGTGAAACGACGCACGAGACAGCTTACTAATGGTGCAGAAGCAACATTAGTTCATTAGATCCTGCAGGATGCGCTGTTGCAGTTTTTCAGTTCCGTAACAGGACTGTGCAGACCTGCGGTTCATTCTGGATTTGTCTTGTCTGAACCCCCTGAGTTTCTTGCCCCCTCCTTTCGGATTACTACTCTGTCTGAGGTCCGGCTCCTGTTAGAGTCAAGTGCTTGGTTGGTGTCCCTGGA